GGGTTGGGGGGGGGGGAGGGTCCTTCACTGCCATCTGGTCCCCCGGCCAGGTCCCCACAGTCAGGCCGGCAGCCCCAAGCCCCTCAACACAGCCCAGCCCCTTGCTCAGGAAACAATCCTGTGTCCCCTAAACAGGCGGGACCCTGGGGCGCTGCTGGGCGGGTCCACACCTGGATGGGACCTTCCTGCATGTTCTCTCCTGAAAGCTCTTTATCTTGGAATGATTTAGACTCGGGAAGCTGGCTGTCCACGCGAGGAGGACCGTGCTGGGCTCCCCGACTTCCCACTAAATCCTGGTCTGAGCCCTCCGGTCGGGAAGATTCCTCGTGTCCCTCTGTCCCAGCTGTGGGGAGCTGGGCGGGGAGCCCGCGCCCCGAGCTTCTGGGCAGGGCTGGGACGGGCCCGGGGCACGGCGGGCAGGTCGTATCGGTTTGTGTCCTCAGGAAGCGGGTGCGGTGGCTGCTCCCCTGCGATCCCGCAGTCGCCGGGCACTTTGGGGCCCAGCGGGCCCTGCTCAGCCGAGCTCCGGCCGCCTGGCTGAGCTCCGGCCGCCTGGCTGGGCTCCGATAAACCGGAAACGCCTCGGCCACCGCGCCCCGGGGAGCGGCTGTAATTCCGGGAGATTCCAGCAGGCGGCGCTGGAAGCTAAGAAATGCCGCCCACGGCCCGCAGGGTCCAGGCTGATGTCTGGGCTCTTAGGATCCGCGCGTCTCCTTGGGCTGGAACAGCCGAGCCCAGAAAGTGTGATTCCCTGAGGGGCCGGGGTTCGTCGCCTTGAAGAACATGCCTTCACCCGGGCGTTTGTGTCCACGCGGCGTCCACTCTGCCTGCATGGGGCCCGGGGTACCTCCTCATAATAAAGCCCAGGCGGCACCTCCCTCCGTCCTCCCGGGGACACCCCGCCAGCGGCCCCGCGGCTCCTGGTGGGCCCGGAAGGCTCTGGGGCCTTGGGCCTCGGAGACGACGGCTGAGCGGAACCACGGGGCCCAGGAGGACCGAGGTCTGAAAACAGTCCTCCCGGAGCTGCAGGATTTTCCGAATTTTTAAAACCAGAGAACAGCCCCACTCCACCCCCGGTGCTCTTTTCCAAGGCTGTTCCCGTAACCGGCCGCCTGGGCTCCGCAGCTGCAGCCGCAGCCCGTCCCCGCGCTGCTTTCGGGGTCCCAGGGCCCTCATGGCTCAGGGAGGCCGGGAGGCCGCAGACGCCAGGCCTAGCGCGTGGCAGGGACACCTTGAGGGCACTTGTGGCCGTGGACGGCCCCCCGCCTGCCTCTCCCGTCCCTTCTGCCGGCCGCGGGGGTGGGGGCGGGAGGGACACCGTGGACGGCTCTGAGCCCCGGGGGACGCGCGTCACGTGGCTGCTGCTGGGCCCCTAGGGTCGCAGGAGGCTCCGCCCACCGCGGGCCGCCCCGGGACACGTGGCTGGCCGGCGCCCGCATCGGTCATCCATCTGGGACCCTCCTCGGGCCGCCTGGAGCTCCACGTCTGTCCACCTGGTGGGGTGACCAGTCAGTTCCGGAGGCAGAGCCGGATTCGCGGCCAGAAGGCGCCGGGCTGAGGCCTGGGCAGAACTTTGGACCCTCTGGGCCGACGAGCAGACACGACCTGTGCAAAGGATGAAGAAAAGGCCAGAACCGGCAGGGGAGTGGCGCGGGGGACGCCAGGCTACCACTACACAGGGCCCTGCGGGAGGGGCTCCCGGTTCCCGGGCGCGGACGGGCCCCCTCGCCCCCCGCGGCCCAGCAGAGCCCCTTCTGTGTTCACTCAACACGACGCCCTCAGCAGAGCCCGAGGGGCCGTCGTCCCAGCCACGACCCCCAACGCCCTGGGAAGGGGCCCCCAGACAAAGCACGGCCAACCAGGTGGAAGGACGGAGGTTCCCCCCCTCGGTTCTGGAGGCCGGGAGTCCGAGTGAGACGGTGTCCAGGGCTGCCCTCCCTCCCAGGCTCAGCAGCCCCGCCTGCCTCTCCCCGCCTGGCCTGCCGCGCTCCTGGCTGCGGCCGCGGCGCTCCGCCGACCTGGGCCCGCGCCCTCAGCCCCGCCACCCCCTGCGTGTCTGTGTCCAAAGCCCCGGGTTCTCTGACGACGC